ACAGTCTAATATTCACTTTTCTTCAATTTTTTTAGAGGAACAACACAAATTTGATCTATTTTTCTTCATGTTTTGATTTGGAATAGAATGTGTAGTTTTCCCAATGCATTTTGTGTATGGAAATAAAAGCTATTTGAAGGATTTTGAGCTTTATTCACTTTTTTCAACATACTGCTATTATTTTGAACACAACTGTAAGTGTAATGGGGAGGTATCTACAAACACTATAAGGCATAGCTATAACTAACCAACCAAAATCTATCTTTATTCCTCCCAAGACCTCCTGCTCTGTAGCTCCCTTATCACATCCTCCCATGCTCACCTCGAGGACTTTTCCAGAGCCTCTCTCTCTCCCATTCTCTGGTGTTTTTTTACACCAATCTGTCAAACCATCTCCTAATCTAATCATCTTTAGATGATCCCTGAAAACCCTTCTCTTTAAAGTGGTAGTAAAGTCTGTTTTTTTTACTTGTACCTAAAGGTAAGCCTATAATAACGCTTACCTGTAGGTACTGTAAATATCTCCTAAACATGCACCATTTAGGAGATATTTACCTGTGTAGTAGCATTGGCACATGCTCTCTGAAGGAACAGCATGCCTGTGCCGTTCCTTCAGAGCTGTTTGCTGTAAAAAGTGACTCCCGCTCACATGCACGGAAGTGATGTCATTGCAACTTGTCCATTCAAACTGCTGGAGCCCACAAACCCAGAAGAAGGACTGAGTGAAGATGAAAGCCCTGTCATCAGTGACAGTAGGCTGATGAAGGTCTTCGTTTTAAAAAAAGTTTCACATAATGTGCTAACATGAGATGCATACTAGTACATGATGCCTTTGTCTTGCAGGGGAAAACTTTTTTGCTTTCTAGAGTTTTCTACCGCTTTAAAGAAGCCTATCCCACTTCTAACAAATACATTCTGTTTTACTTTCTCCATCAACTCATCCTCCACAGTTATTACCTTTTGTATCACTTGACCCTTCCTGTTAGACTGCAAACTCTAATGAGTAGAGCCCTCTGTTTCCTCTTATACTGAATTGTATTGTACCTAATGTCTAAGACTAATGTCTGCCTTGTTTTGTAAAGCGCTGCACAAACTGTTGATGCTATATAAATCCTGTATGGAAGGAAGGTAGGAAGGAAGGAAAGATGGAAGGATGGAAGGAAGGAAGGAAGGAAGGAAGGCAGTCACTAAAAGGATATGGGTGTCCTGATAGACCATAGATGTAACAGCATGGAATGCCAAGCTACAGCACCCAGAGTGAACAATATATTTTCTTGCTTAAAAAAAGGCATAGGATCCAGAGAGAGAAATCATCATCTTGAATTTGCAGTTGGGCTCCAATTCACGAAAACGATATTGCAGAAATGAAGAGAGAGTGGACAAGGGCAACAGAACTAATAAGAGGAAGAAAGAAAGAAAGAAAGAAAGAAAGAAAGAAAGAAAGAAAGAAAGAAAGAAAGAAAGAAAGAAAGAAAGAAAGAAAGAAAGAAAGAAAGAAAGAAAGAAAGAAAGAAAAAAAAAAAAGAAGAAGAAAGAAAGAAACAATAGAAAAAAGAGTGAAAAGTGAAAAAGACAAACGGATTGAAGGAGAAAGGGAGATGGAGAGAGAAATGTTTTTTTTACACCGGCAGACATTTACTTGGAAGGCACCTCGATCACTTGAACTTTCTAAATACAGTGTTTGATTTTTGTTGTCAGAACAGGTGATATTATCTAAAATTACTCTTGATGCTTTTTGTAAAGTGGGCAATAGATGTAAGGTAAATATTTTTCCTCTTACAAATGTTTGTCTACCACTCTTGGTAAAAGAAAAGTAAAAAATAGGGAAGGCTTGATATTTGTAATGTCTCACTCAGCCTCTTCTGGTGCATTATTTATTGTACTATTTCAGTCTCTGTTGAAGCAGAGAAATGTGTTTTCATAGAATGTCCATGCTAACAAAAACATCCACTGTGAATTAAAGATGAAATAATCCTCATAAAAACAACTCCTCCAAAAAAAACAAAAAACAACGCACTCCATGCTTTAACACCAGTGCCCAAATCAAAGGCTCACTGAAATGGTATAACCCTCACAATGAGATTCCATATAGCGCTTGAAAGTGATTAGCTCAGATCCTGGATACATGATGTCGCCACTTCACTCCACTATACATAGACAGCCATGATAAAATGGTGCTGAGGCACCCTGGGTGAGAAACACTGCATTAAGTACTTCAGCTTTTTTCACATGGGCTATGGACTCAGGTGTCCTATAATTCAATATTCAGGAGGTGGCAGTATCACCACTTAAACACCTGCAAACCACCTTTTTGCCATCTCTGAAAAGCAATCCCCCAATGATCACTGTGAAGAGTGATCAGTGGGGGATTGCTTTTCAGAGATGGCTAAAAGGTGGTTTGCAGGTGTTTAAGTGGTGATACTGCCACCTCCTGAATATTGAATTATAGGACACCTGCTCCACAGTTAACACTCCTCATATAGAAGATAACTAAAACAGCTACCACAAATTTTACAACATACTAATCAGAATAAATCAGAGTTGGCAGCGCTACATAATGTTATAACACAACCAGGTATTACATTCCATAAATAGGCCAATACAATCTAAATTCATGAATTAGTTTGACAACTTTGTGCAAATTCCTTGAAAATCTTCATAAATAAAGTGCAATGTGCAAAGCAAAAAATGTCTCTTTGTTCTGTGTATAAGGTGAATCTTCCAACAGACATGCAAAAAAAACCCTTTATGTGCATGAAGACTTTGTCATGGACGAAACATGTTGGGGCATGGTTTAGTGACATCATCTCACAGTGGAAGGCATGCCAGCTCCCAATAGAATGAAGTGGAGCTGCGGTGCTCCCCTTAGAGGAGAAAGCTATATCACGTATGCTGGTCTGTGTATGGCACTTTGAAAAGTGCGGGCACTTTTTTTCACTTGTTTATTCATTTTAAAATAAAGTTTTATGGTTTTATGCAATTATCCTGCACATATCCTGATCCTGTTTAGTGGTGTGGTGTGGAGGAAGGTTATATGGATATTGGCATCCCATGATATATTTAAAGCACTCTTAGACCTTTTTACTTTAAAGGCCCCACATTTCTGTTGAGTCATTCCAATCTGTGTGAGCACTGGAGGCACTTTTTTTTCTCTGAAGAACCAGTTTGAAGAGGAGCACTTAAAATTTTGGAAATGGACTCTTGTGGAGAGCGGGGAGAACTTTGTTTGGAACACAATAACCTACTATCTTTAACCTCCCTGGCGGTATTCCCGAGTGTAGCTCGGGGTAACATTTCAGTACCAAAAGCGGTAACCCCGAGCTACACTCGGGAATACCATGCGGCGCTGCTCAGGCATGTGTTCTTCACTTACCTTACCCTGGGCTCCCACGATGTGTCCCCTGCAGCATCCCCGGCCATCTCCTCCGGCCGATGCCTTCTGTGTCCTGTCCCTGTGACGTCGGGACGTACGGGCGCCGCCGCCGCCGGCGGCGGGAAATTTAAAAAATTTTAAAAAATGTCATTTTTTTTTTTTTTTCATTTTACACAGTAAAACATTGCTGTTTCAACCTATTTCACATACATTTTGTCCCTAGTGCTTTGTCCTGTGCCCTGCCTGCATTTTGTCTGTTCTTTCTGCCTGGAAACTGAGAAATGTCCATGGTGTCCAAAAAGTGTCCCTTTAGGTCAAAAGCGGTTTTAGACCGGCTAGAGAACAGCGATAGTAAATCAGAACCACTTACAGAAATTGAGTGATAATGATTCGTGGGGGAAATTCGTCATCAGAAACTGAAAACGATTTTGCGACTGAGCTCAGCAATGTGCGAACTTGGCGCTCTATTTCACATTTCAGTGTTTTTTGGTTTGATTATATTATTGAATTAAATTTTTTTATTATTTTTATGATTATTTATTAAATTATAATTTATGATTTTGTGTGTTTCAAAATTTTATCATACCCGGGATGTTTACTAGACTCTTGTTCGGACATATTTCAGTGAGTTTTTCCTAAAAAATTACAGCCTACAATAAAAAAAATACATATTTCCATGCAAAAAAATGGTACCGCTTTCAGCACCAAAAATCTGAAATAATCATACCGCCAGGGAGGTTAAGCCTCCTGGATGTCCATTTTTTTTAATCCACTAGAGATTTTACATTCAAATATCACGCTGTAAATGCGCACCAGCAGCATTTGTGTCATGGAGTTGCAGCGCAGTCCCATTGACATCAATGGTTTTGTTTGGCAAGCAGAGTTTCCTGGCAAACATGGCATTGTGAATTCAAATTGTTGAGCTGAGCTACAGTGCTCAATGCAGGTACAATGCAAGATACTATTGTTTTAAATGTATATTATTATTATAGGCAGAGCTTTTGTACTCAGAGAACAGGTTCCTCGTTCCAAGTCCCTCCTTGTTTCCGCCCCCTACCCACCTATGAGCACCATCCTTTGGTTCCAGCGCCTACCCACCTACCATTATCACCCCTTTTAGTGAATACAGAACCAAGTCATTTTTGTGGTGTTAAGTAATTTATATGGAATTTGCTAATGATAACATAAGAAGCAGTAAAATAGATCCCCTACTGCCAGCAACAAAAGCACCCACAGCAACAATAGACCCACTGCAGCAACAGTAGACCCCCGCCAGCAATAATAGATCTCCCAGCAGCCAGCAACAATAGACCCCTCCCTTAACAGTAGATCCCTCCCAGCAAAAATTGCCCCCCTCCCTCATCATGAGATCCCCCTCACACTCAGCAACAATAGACCCACCAGCTGCCCTTGCCATTTCATACATTCAGTGCTGGAGGTGCCGGAACTGCATTCCCGCTGAAAAAAAGCCATGATTACAGGTACTTAAACAACACTTAAAATTTATGCAGCGCTTTTACATAAATATATTGTATTTTCACATCAGTTCCTAACCCTCAAGGAGCTTACAATCTAAGGTTTCTAACTCACATTTATACATACAATAGTAGGGTCAATTACCTACCAGCATGTCATTGGGAGTGTGGGAGGAGACCCACACAAGTGCAGGGACAATGAGAAAACTCCAGGTAGGCAGTGCCATGGTTGGGACCAGGGGCAGACTGACAAATCATGGGGCCCCCGGGCAATAGGGGATCATGGGGCCCCTGTGTGCTTGCCCAAACTCAAAAAAGCCTATGAAAAAGGTACCAGGGGCATCTCATGGGGCCCCCTACTGACCCCGCTACTGACTGGCAGTGTTTCCAAATGGTCAGTCTGCCCCTGGTTGGGACTCAAACCAATGATCCTAGTGCTGATATGCAAAAGCGCTGACTACTTAGCCACAGAGATGCCTGGAAATGGTACCGCTTCACACCAGTAGCCTGAAGACAGGTTGCATTTTTATTGCAATGCCTTGGAAGGATAGCTACAGTGCCCATTGGATGGATAGAAATAACAAAAATGTATTACCCATTACATATAAAACCCACTACAATGTTGGCTAAAAACATATTGCAATGCAAAGCAGCAAATTGTAAAATTGTATGGCATGAACAAACCATGTGCTTGTACTTTATTTGCCCTGTTTTTATATGCTATATGTTTTCCACTGAATCTGATTTACTAAACATCATATGCAACCTTTTCAGTACGTGAAGTGGTGATGAGTGGCTATTAGTCGGACGGCAAATAACTGGCTCAGCTAAGCTGGATTTGCCTCCATGCTGGACAGCCAAAGCACTCGTGATATGTCAGTTGTGGTTTGACAGGCACCACTTATATATGTGATAGCACTCTGGTGTATGAGTGTGATATTTACATTTTTTACAGGGATTATTTGTGTTGACACCAGGTTATTCATTCATCATTGATTATATCACCAGTTGAACATCTAGGGAGCTTCTTACAATACGTTTTCTCACACACAGTTGACAATAGCCGTCTCTTGCAAACAATGCACCGAAATAATGAACTGACATGTATGAGTCACTTGTTCAGCAGCCACCGGCTAGCAGTAATCAATATTTGCAGCAGCCCCTACATGTTTAAAAAATGTTTTATGACTTTTTCAGGTTTTATTTGTATTTTTTGGCCATACAACAGGTATATTGTGTATGACGGGTAATTCATTTATTATTTTATTAGCATGAAATGATAAGTAAATGTTATGGAATATTGACAGAATATAATTACAGAAATGAGATATAGAATTTGTATATGATCCAAGCAGCCAAACAATAATCTATGCTGTTCTTATTTAGTTTTTTGTTTAACTTTAATTTTTCTTTCTAACAACCTTGGTATTCCATAGTAAATGTATATATTACAGGTACTCATATAGCACCATACATTTATGCAGTGCTTGACATATACAGTATAAATATATATATATATATATATACAGTTGTGTCCAAAATTATTCAACCCCCAATGCTGTAAAGGGGTTTAGGGACTATAGTGTACATTTGGATTGTATTCAGAATCAAAATCCTACAAGGACGTTGTAACTACCCAAAATGCAACTAAAAAATACATCAATTGTTTATGTAATACAGTAGTAAATGGTTCTTTATGTGGATTCTTCATTGCCACAATTATTCAACCCCTTAAAGACTACCACTCTGAAGAACAGAGGTTCATACAGGTGCTTTCCATCAGGTATTGAAAACACCTGTGGATGTCACCGAGCAGCAATCAAGCATAATAAGCACCAATTAGGCAGCTTTAAAATGACTGTGATACTCACTCCTTCTAGACATTTACTGGTGTGGTTACAAACATGGTGAAGGCAAGAGAATGGTCCAGGAAGACAAGAGAAGAGGTGATTTCTCTTCACAGGAAGGGCAATGGCTATAAGAAGATTGCAAAGATGTTAAACATACCAAGAGACACCTTAGGAAGCATCATTCGCAAATTCAAGGCAAAGGGCACTGTTGAAACGCTACCTGGTCGTTGTGCAGAAAGAAGATGCTGACTTCGACTGCTGTGCGCTACCTGAAGCGTAGAGTGGAGAGAAGTCCCCGTGTGACTGCTGAGGAACTGAGAAAAGATTTGTCAGATGTGGGTACAGAAGTTTCAGCCCAGACAATAAGACGCACACTGCGTAATGAAGGCCTCCGTGCCAGAACTCCCAGGCGTACCCCCTTGCTGTCTCCAAAGAATAAGAAGAGTCGACTGCAGTATGCCAAAAGCCATGTGGACAAACCACAAAAGTTGTGGGATAGTGTTGTGGACTGATGAAAACAAAATTAGAACTGTTTTGGCCCATGGATCAACGCTATGTTTGGAGGAGGAAGAACAAGGCCTATGATGAAAAGAACACCTTGCCTACTGTGAAGCATGGTGGAGGGTCAATCATGCTTTGGGGCTGTTTTGCTTCTGCAGGTACAGGGAAGCTTCAGCGTGTGCAAGGTACCATGAATTCTCTTCAGTACCAGGAGATATTGGATGGAAACGTGATGCAGTCCGTCACACACCTGAGGCTTGGGAGACGTTGGACCTTTCAACAGGACAATGATCCCAAGCATACCTCCAAGTCCACTAGAGCATGGTTGCAGAGGAAAGGCTGGAACATTTTGGAGTGGCCATCGCAGTCACCAGACTTAAATCCGATTGAGAACCTCTGGTGGGACTTAAAGAAAGCAGTTGCAGTGCGCAAGCCTAAGAATGTGACTGAACTGGAGGCCTTTGCCCATGAAGAATGGGCGAAGATACCCGTAGATCGCTGCAAGACACTTGTGTCAAGCTATGCTTCACGTTTAAAAGCTGTTATAACTGTAAAAGGATGCTGTACTAAGTACTAAGAATTGAATGTCACTTGGGGGTTGAATAAAACTGATAATGCTGTGAGCACAGAAAAGACATTTGTGGTTTATTTCATTATAACTGTTATGTTATATTTGTCTGACCTACAAGTGCCTCTTTAATGTAAATGTAAGCAAGATGACTGAATGATCAAAAAGCAATGTCAAACTGCCAAAACACTCAATTTCAGGGGTTAATAATTTTTGGTCACAACTGTATATATATATATATATATACTATATATATATATATTATATATATTGTGCATTCACATCAGTCCCCAACCCTACAGGAGCGTACAAATTTAAGGTCCCTAGTTCACATTTATACACGGGACGATTCAGACAAGAGCCAATTAAACCTACCAGCATGTCTTTGGAGTGTGGAAGGAAACCGGATTACCCAGAGAAAAGCTATGTAGGCACAGGGAGCAAACTCCAGGCAGTTGGAGCTGTGGATGCGATTCAAGCCAACGACCTGAGTACTGCCAGGCAGAAGTACTAACCATTTAGTCATTGGCTCTACTGTATATAGCACCCTCATAGTATAGGATGATAGGTAATGTATTTTTTTGGCTTGCTCTGTAATCAGAGGAGCAGTGATCATTTGCCTTGGTACAATCATGGGTTCAGATGGCCAGGTGTTTGGGTTGTTTCCCCCTGCCTCTGTACTGAATGTTGGAATTCTCTATCAAGGGATTGAGTTTGAGGAGGTGGCTGCTCTAGGACTTGTGAGTAGAGACCCTGAGTGGCTCCCTGCAACAGAGTAATCATGAGACATGTCTCATCGTCCCCAGCTAGGAGACTTAAATTATTCAAGAGACATACCTCAAGGTCCCCAGCTATGAGACTTTAAATATTCAAGAGGCATACCTCAAGGTCCCCAGCTATGAGATTTTAACTATTCAATAGACATACGTGATGGTCCCCAGCTGTGAGACTTTAACTTTTCTGAAGCTATCTCATGGTTCCCAGCTGTGAGAGAGTCGACTGTTCTGCAAATGACCTAATGGTCCCCAGCTGTGTGAGCTAAAGTTTGCTACCTTTACTAAAACCATACATAGATGGATTGAATGTCAGCTAGTTCAAAAGAGATTGGCTGAGATTCGATCCATGTTTGGGCACAATTGACTTGAGTACAATCAGTATGTCAGATTTTTAGCATGCAATTATTGCCAGCAACTATAGACCCTAGCAGTAATCACTGTATTCCCCTGGCCGGGATGGCTCCCCCCCCTGCTAGGAGAATACAATATCTCCACAGGAAGGATTCTCCCATCAACACTGACTGTGTTGATTGGGGAACTGAGTGATTTTCTGCAACCAAAAAGAAAATCACATTTTATATGGCCTGCCTAAGAGAAGAGTATCCTCAGCCAACTATTCTTGAGCGTTTTGGAGTACCCCATGCCCCTTACCCCTCTCTTGTTAAAGCTCTGCAAGCAATACATTTAAAAAGACATCCCGTAGACTGTTTAATGGAGTTAGAGTGAATGGACTTTTGCCCATGTGACTTGTAGCCTCTGTACTGTTGGGGAAGAATCAGTAAAAATAACAGTTGCTTCTTCATGGGTAGCGCTACATGTATGTTGTTTTGGTTATTTTGCTGGGTAATGCAGGGTACCTGTGTTGATCATGACTCCTAGTCTAGCTGATTCAATGAAGAGCCAAACGACACCTCCAGAAACTCCTCCCTATTATTGCTGAATTTTCTGGAATTTGAGCATGAAACTTTTATGTGCATGTTAAGTGGACTTTTGGTTTCTGGGGATTAAATGGTCTTGAAATGGCCCGAATTTACTAAAGGGATTACCTAACCACCCCCTCCCCTTCCCCACCCTTGACTTAAATGGGATTCATTATTAGTTTGGGTTTGCCAAATTTCAAACAGAATATACTGAACCCAGTCAGATTTGTTCACCCCTAATAATGTCGGGCTTGATATTCGAGTTGAGCTGGTCCCCCACTGCGCTCCAGAATGCCCTGCACTCTGACAGTGCATTATGATTGGCCAAAGCAGTACACCTGACCACAACGCATGATGATGTCATAAGGGGGCGGGGTCATCTGGTTGATGTCACTGGGTGGCCCCGCCCCTTAGATATTTAAGAACTGTTATCCCAGTGCAGCTATCAGACGGCAGGATCCAACGTTGAGAGAAAAATGTTTTTTTCTTTCTTTTTCGGGTCGGCGGTGGTGGCGAGCATCGTGATTGACATTGGATCTACTTCGGGGGACATTTTTAAAATTTTTCATTTAAAGGACTTGTCAAAGACTGTCTTCTATAATTTTTTACACCACACTTTTTTTTGTGTGAATGAGTAGCAGTACTATATACCCCATACTCATTCACATGGGGGGATGGAATCTGGGGTCCCCCTTTTTTAAAGGCTTCCAGATTCTGATAAGCCCCCCACCTGCAGACCCCCTAAACAACCAGACAAGGTGCTTTGGGGGGGAGCCAAAGCACCCCCCCATGTTAAGGGCATGTGGCCTGGCA